GGACTGATTTTGTATAGAAGGTTTCGGCGGTTGATCGTGTCGAAGGCTGTCGTAAAGTCGAGAAAAACTGCTGGTACTGGTTCACCTTCCTGTAGTTGAGTTGCAACGTCTGCTGTTTGTCTCAGTGTTTGGAGCCCAGTCGATCTGTTTTCCCGGAAGCTGAATTGGTTGGGTCTGATTCGTTTGTCTATTAAGGGAGTAAAACGTCTTAGTAATTTTTTCTCGAAAATTTTGCCAGTGATCGGAAGTAAGCTGATGGGTCTGTAGTTATCGGGGTCTTTGTGGGGTTTTCCAGATTTTGGTAAAAGTTTTATTTTAGCAGTCTTCCAGATAGAGGGGAAATAGGCGTAGCGTAGACAGGCGTTAAATATTGAACTCGGGAAATTTATGGCGTTCTTCGTCAGTCTTTTTAGTGCTGTCGCTTTTAATCCGTCGGGTTCAGTCGCTTTGGTCTCGTCGAGTAAAGTTAGTTCGTCAGTCATTTCCTTGTCTGTTATTGTCCATAGTTCCTGGAGGTGGCGCGGGAGATGAAAGAGAGAGACGGAGAGGTACGGAGAAACTGAAGGACGGTTCTGTCGGGGAGGGGTATGTCAGGTGACTTAAATCGTTTTTCCAATTTTGTTGCAAATATTTCTGTCATTTGTTGTGGGTCATATGTATTTGTTCCGTTGGGAAGTGTTAGTAGGGAAATTGCTTCCGTCTTAGTCCGGAGTTGTTTGATAACTGTCCAAATTGTATGGGGGTGCTTTGTAATGTCAGAAATTGTGTTAGCCCATTTTTGATTCTCGTATAATTTAAGAGTCGTAGTCGCGTTCGGTTGTAATGTTCGTAGATTTGTCTGTCTTGCGGGCTACGGGTCCTGTAGAATGTTTTTTGGAATTTTCTTTTAAGTCTGATTAGATGCAGTATGTTGTCTGGGAGTTGAGATTTTTGGAGGTTTATGCTGGTGGAAGTTTTATGTAGGGCACTGTTTTTTTGAGGTTGAAATGTTCTATTGCTTTGTCGATATCTGGAGGATTATCTAAAGTATTGGGATTTTTGTTCTTTTTGGAAATTAAATGTTTAAATTTTGTTCAGTCAGTTTGATATGTTGCAAATGTCAGGTGCTTACTGAAAGACAGTACGTCTATGAAGAAAAGAATGGGGAGGTGGTCGGAAGTGAGTTCATGTTTCGGGTGTGGGGTGCTAATATTGATGGTGTATGAGTGGATGGCGAAGTCTAGGATGTCATGTGGGAGGTGTCGTACTAAGTAAGTTGGTTCTGAGAGTGCGGAGAGAGTGAGGTTTGGGTTTGCTGTTAGGTAGTCATTTAGCTCGTGTCCGTTCGCGTTGGTGTGTCGGCACCTCATATAGTAGATTTTGAATTTAAGTCGCCAATGAGTAATCATTTGTCAGTCTGCAGTAAGTCAAGGTCTTGTTTTTGGTCAAGGTCATGGTTTTGGGGAGGGGGTGTATACTGAGGAAATGGCTATTGGTCCGAGGGGTGTGCCAAGTTGGATGCGGGTGTTTTCGATGTGAGTTGTAGGAGCTGGAGGGAGTGGAGTGTGTGGGATGTCTCTTCTGATAAGTATAGCGGTGCCGCCTCCAAGTGTCGGTCGGTCCGTTCGGTAAGTCAGAAAATCGGGAAGGGTAAATTCATGTCCTGATTGGAGATGCGTCTCTTGGATTGCGAGTATTCCAACGGAATAGTCTTTTATATATAGTTTGATGTCGTCTAGCTTCCGGGTACGTCCATCGTTTGCGTTCCAGGAAGTGATGTTGGTGATCTTTTGTCTGGTCATAAATTTAGAAGAGGTCTATGATTTTTGTGATTAACATAATAATTCGTGAGAATGTTAGTATTTTCAAGAATTTAGAATTTGAACAAATAATGTTAACATCCTTGAATTAAATTACTGGCCATGATTATGGCTATTTAATTTGCCAAATAATACGTAGTATCTAGCCTCAACAAACAGTAACAAGTGATTGCTGACTGTCCGTATGTAAGGATAACACGTTTCCCGTTTTCATCAATGCAATTTTGTTGGAACGGTCCATAGCTACCGTCACGGTGCTACCGTTGCTGGGACAGTCAATAACGCTAGATAGTTTAAAAATAAGTGATGTTCGGGGCAACAATGTTTTTCCAAAGACTCTTGACTTTTTTTTCTTTTTCTTTTTTCTTCTTTTTTCATATTTCTAGGATTTCAAGGGCGAGTCATAAAATAACACATAAAATTACGTACTAATACGTAGTACTAATGTTTTAACATTACATTTGACATGTATCGGAACTTACCAACCACCAACTGAATTCTTATTTTTTGCTAGTTAACACAGCATTGCGAGAGTCGAAAGGGGCGCACTGATCTGCAATTACATGCAGCAATAATAAGGGAAAGAACTCCGAGTTATATTGTTTTTGTTTAAGGCAGCGGCAGCACCACTTTTAAAAGTTGCACAGTAGTGTAAAATCAGTATTTTATAATAAATCGATGAAATTGGTAAATTAGTTACGATATAATTTTGAAGAAATGTTTATTAAATTTTAAAATACCAAAAAAATTAAACCAGACAATATTAAAATCCCTTTGTTTACGGAAATTTTATTATGAGGAACTCTAATCTTATCATGTTTGAGGGTTACAATCATTAAAATGTTTGACATCTCTGATATATGGTATTTATTAACAATCATCCACTCATAGCAGAAAATGAGCTACAAACAATCACATCTCTTATAAAGAAAGTTATAAATCAGTTTTAAGTAGTAAAATTTACTAATAGATATAATTTTCAGAAATATTCAATTATTACGAAATATATTTGTTAATATATTTCTGTAACATGTAATTTTTTCCTATTAATAGAAAAAGATGGATTTGGGTTGTTTATTATGTTAATAATTTAATAATTCTTTTGTATGTCAAAACCCCAGAAAGAAAAATTAAAAAGCAGAATGATTTACAAAATAAATACATTCCATGCAGTTCGTATGAGTTATACTTTTCATAAATCAGTTTGCTGTGCTGTAGTACATGGGCATTACACAGCAACCATTAGCCTCATTAATTTATTTTTTTATCATTTGAAAGTAACATGTCTTTGAGATGAATGTTTTCATTAAATTATGAAAAAGCAACTCCAGCAGAAGTGGTGGATGAGTACATTTAAAGTAGATGTTGTGATAGGCAAATGTTTCCTGTTCATGGTTGTAGTTTTTTTGTAACATTGTGTTACAATTATATTTTACTGAAAGGAATTAATATCTATAATTTTAAGATTGACCAAAAAAAATTTATTTTTTTTGTCAAAATGTTTTGTGATTTTTAAAGTCAACAGTAGTACATCAGTAAATTCAAGAGACAGATTTAAAATGAAGAGGTATTCCTCCCACGGACTGAAGTATTACAGCCCAGTTGTTGAATTTTAAAGGTATTGGTGTTTCACTGGTGGGCTCCACTTTATAACGTGACAGAATATATACGAGACCAGTCTTGGTAACCATGTGACCAAAGCGTATTCCTGGATGAGAAACACAGAAACAAGAAAACAATTAAAAATAAACTATAGATAAATGTGAAAGAGATTTAGACAAGTAAAATAAACAAGAATTGCAAAGAAAATTAGAACTAACAATGTTACTTGTCTGTCTGTTTCACAAAAGAATAGTTTATTTGTGAATAGTCTCGTAAGTTTAGTGCATGTTTTATGGTGATGTGACGATATTCTTCCCCAGCTGGATGGCACAATCCAGTGGTCACCTACACAGTTGGCTTGCACTGCCCCAGCTGGGACAAGCTCTGAGCTGACATGTAAGCCTGAGAGGAGGAAGAGGCTCGGTCAAGGTAGAGGAAGGAAACAGAGAGTGTATATAGTAGAAGTAGGAAAGATCGTGTGTGGTCTGTGATGGTACTGCCCGGACGTTTGCTTGGTATTGATCGAAGAAAGCACGGAAAACTATCGTAGCATAATGCTCCTCCAGATAGCGACTGCATTCGACCTAGCTATCTAGCTAGTGTCAAAAACCATCCCATCAAAAATTCTGATTCAATCGATTAATTTTTTTTGGATCGTACAAGAACTTTGTAAGAGAATTATCAAAAATTTGAAGAAAAAATTATCAGTTACTTTCTAGAAAATCTTGAAAATGTCATAGTGGTTTCACGTAATGTGCCCCAAAAATTAAAATAGTTTAATAGTCTCCAAAAAGTTGCATAGTTATATATTAAGTTTCAGCACAATTTTTTCTAATCTCATCACAGTTATGAATCCATTCATCCAGACACTCAGGGTACCAAATTGCATACATCTCCAGTCAACACCAATCTTAACTATCCTTGAACAGTGCTAATAGATTTTACATGCACAGAATACACTTCACCCCGCAAAGTTTTAAACTGTTTTTGACATTAAATAAATCAATAATCCCAATGTCTGTGCAGAATTATAGCAGAAAAACCATAATCAAGGATTTTACGAATAAAAATTTGAGATCATATTATTAAGATGATTCCAATATTTTTCCTCCCAGTACTATAATATAAAACAAAAAAAGCTCAATTTCAATATCGCAGTTGTAGGAACACTCCGAAAACTTTTGCAATTTTTGAAAATTCAAAGTGTTTAACAAAAGTGAGACCTGAGCAAATTTTTTTATTCGTTTTTTATTCGAAAAACATGTAAGCTGAAATCCAACATTTTTACGAATATATTGAACGTTTATGCTTCCCGAAAATGAAAAAATCCTCTTCAAATTCGTAGGGTCTTGAGTTTGACCAGATTGATTGAGAAATATCAATTGTGGAAAAAAAGTCAGCAATATAAGGTATCAGTATTGCAGATGGTTTATCTGAACGGTTTAGGTGCTACCAATGACTAAAGACAGACTGCATGAATACACAGTTTTTCCAATAAAAACGAAACAATTAAAATTATTTAAAGTTAAGGATATTAATTAAGTTCTTTATAGCTTCTTTTATGTTTTATAGTGATTTTATCTACCTCTTGTATGGCAATCACTTACCCACACAATGGCGAGGTCCTTCTCCAAAAGCAAGCCACGTACATGGAGGTCGACTTTGTTTTGCTTCTTCACTAAAATTATCTGGATTGTATTTCTCTGGATTTGGAAAATACTGAGGATCAGTTTGAAGTGCCAATATAGGAATGTAAATTGGTGTTCCTTTATCAATGATGAAATTTGATCCAGGAACTTTGTAGTTTTGTAATGCAACACGATCCAAGAACGGCAAAGGAGGATATTTACGCAATGTTTCTGAAAAATGTACAAGCATCATGTGTCAAATACTTCCAGTAGTAACCTAAAAAATTATTTAATAGTATTTTCAATGTAAAGAATGCATTCCCACCTGACATAACCATGTCCAGATATTTGAGGTTCATTACAACTTCATATGTAATTTGGCCATTTGTTTCCTTCAGTTTGTCTAGTATTTCTTTTCTCAATTTTTCTTGAATGTCAGGTTGTATTGCAAGTTCATACAGAGTGAAACTCATGGTTGTAGATGAGGTTTCAAATCCAGCAGTGAAGAAAATTGCTGCTTGTGCTACCAAGTCATCACTAGTGAAATCTATTGACATAAATATCACATAATTTTGTCAATTAAATTTTTTTAAATATTTTGGATAATCAAGAAATAAATTTTTTCTACAAATAAATTAAAACATAAACATTTTTTTAACTGATTAGCACTTACCAAACATTGAATCCGTTTTTGTATCTGTTTGAGTTAGGCGACCATTAGTTACACTACTATTATCGTCATCAACTTTTCCTTTATTTTTTATCTGTAGTAGAAGATCTATTAAATCATTTCTAGTGGCTTTAGATTTTTCTCTGTGGTCCATCATTTCCCAGAAAATTTTCCTTAAAAATTCTGTCACATCCTTTTGAAAAAAACTAAACCATCCAGTTTTGACAAAATGAGGGACAAAAAGGAAAACAAGTGTTTCATAAGCTCTCCTTCTAGAATATTCAAAAGTTTTTTTTCCAATTTCTCGAAATTCCGCATTTGGATTCTTAATGGAGTTACTCTCAATTCCAAAGGCACAAGATGAAATGATGTCTGTTGTGCAGCGTGCCAAAACATCTTTTATTTCCAAAGGATTATTAGTATCAACATAAGCATCCACATGATCTGTCAGTTGTTGAAAACATTGTGCCACAAGATAAAACATATTTTTCATTTTTCCGGACGAAAATGTGGGTGAGAGCTTTGCACGCAAATATTTCCAAGAATCACCCTTCCTGGTCAAAAGATTTTTACTTCCTAAAGGATCAATAGTTTCATCAGAAGATGTGAATCTATCAGCAAAAACATTGAAATCTTTCACCAGAATGTTCTTTATAAGATAAGGATCTCGAACTAGTAGAGCAGGTCTGCAAAACAAAGAATTATTTTATTTTTCTTTTCTCATTTTTCCATTGATTTTTTAATTAAAAAACTATAGGTTCTATATAAAAGCTTCAGATTTCATAATAGCAACAATAATAATAAGAAAAAATATTAATAATTTTCATGATGATGACTATTTATTTCACAAACTTATTTTCATTTGAAGACAAACAACTTTGCCGAACAAACACTAAATGTATTTTGATAGGTCAGTTGCACAAAATATTGAATGTTGTCATGCAAATGAGTAACACAATAAAATGAAAAATGAAAGGTGCAGGTGTTTTTTGCAGGTGTTTCAGATACGAGTACATAACATCTATAATAAATTTTTTTAATAAATAATTATCCCTTAATCATGAGATCCATGATTAAGTATTCTATAAGTTATCTCTAAATATCTCATAATTATTCTGGTAGATGAATATTGAAACAAATTGGATTGTTACAAATGAATCTCACTAGCTATATTGGAAATGAAATGTTAAAAAAATATTTAAATATTTTTAGAATATTGAAATATATTCTAAAAATTAATAGATAGAATATTATTATATTGAAATATTTTAGAAATTTAATTTAATTTTGTTGAAAAAAAGATTAAATATTTGGTTTTAATATGAGAGCAATGTTATGTTTAATAAACTATTCCTTTTGTTTGTTTTTTTTTTTAAATGCTATTTCAAGTGTATAAGTAAACAACACGATGTAACAAAACAAAATGTATTTTTTTTAATGTAAGATATCAAAGAGTTAATTAAGTTAAGACATTCCTTTCATTTTTTGACAAAATTATCAGTAAAACCTAATAAATCATTCCATCACCCACCTGCCAAGAATAAAGATACCAATGTATGGGCTGTTGGGTATCTTTTCATACAAATCAGCCAAAAAATGACCACCTGTGCGCCTAAGAAGCAGTAAATCTTTACAGTTGCCTATGAGTGGGGTTGGTTTCAGGAAAGGAATATTTTTTTTCTTCCAGTAATTGAACTCTGATGTCAAGTACAGATACAATGTTACAAAAAGACACAGCACTAAAGCAGTTGCAATTAAAATAGGTCTCTCCAAAAAGATTTCCCAATCCCTGAAAATAAAGAAATGAAATTGCAATATTAATTCACACTGATGTATATGAAATTATGTATTTTCAAACTATTTATTGAATTCAGTAAATTATACAATAAATATTTCTGTATATTTACACAGTATCATGAATGCTTTCAATTACTAATATCTTTGTTAGGAAAACTATTTTCTTTCTGTTATTATTAACTCAGTTAATGGAGTATTTATAATCAGCTCACTTTTAACGAAACAGTAACATTGCCAGACTGTCTGCCCATTGAAAAGAAAGATTAATAGACTAGTTCATCACTACATTAGAATACAACATATTCCTTTCAATTCATGGTTGAAATCAACCATATTTTTATTGTCCTAAATATATTATATTGTGTTGCTGTATCCATAGGTTATTTTCTCCACAGTTTAAAAATGACTTTTCTGTCTTACTAGTGCGTAATGAGGCAGTATTCTTTCATGTGTGAAGTATTTCAAATGGTGCAATCTTTGTTGGTCATCCTAGGCCACCCTTGCCTTCTGGTCTATAATATACTGCTATCTTTGTGGGTCCATTCTCATAATAAGTTTTCTCCATTTCCTCTGGTATCTTTTTATTTCTTTTTTTTTTTTTTTTTTTTTCATTTTGAATCTTGTCTCTTCTTGTAACTCATACAACTATTCTTAAAAATTTCATCTGAGCTGCTTCCATGCTTCTAGTTACCTTTGCTCTCATTAAATGTTGTTCATTTATTCATTATTTTTGTGTTTTTTTATAAGTTTTTAGAATTACTGTGAGTACAAATGCACCTGAAGAAGCGTGAGTAAGCAAAACATCATGTTTGTCAATACATGAGTACTGTATTTTGTATGTCTTGAATAAAATGCTGTTAATTCTGAACATAATAAATAGATTGTATGTAAATAAACAAATGGATACAGCAATATAATATATAACTTATTCTTCTTCAATTCTAAGTTTGCTTTTTGAGTGAAAGGTAGAAATCATCATGCTGAGTAATGCTGTACCAGCAAAGAGGCAAGAAACCCAAGTGAAGGGCTAGATTCAATCTGTCTTTCCACATTGTAAGAAAATTCTTAACTCACATGACAAAAAGCTGACTCAGAAAAAATTCATTAACACAAGAAATGGGTTTTCATATGAGCATTTCAGTATTTTGTGACTCATCACAGTGCTTGAGTATTCTTCAACTTTTTGAATAATGGATGGTTTGACTATTTTTCAATCGTTTCACTTATATCGTGTTCAACATCTTACTTACAGGGCAACTTAAATATAGAATCACTACTTCAAAAAAGTTATTCTTTGAGTTGCTTTCTATTTCTTTAAATTTGGTTTTGCCATACAACACCATTGAACATAATGAATATAAAAGAAACTAATTTCCTTTTCAATAATATTATGCTAGTATAATTAATCAGTAACATTACTGTGTACATTTTAGATTATTAGGCATCTCTCGCATCCCACTTTCCAGTTTAGTCTGTCACTGCAGTCTTCTGCAGTTAATCAACTTCTAGCCATTGCCTTTTCCTTCATGTTGTAATTTATTTATTGATTGTATTTCTAATCTAACAAGTATTGTGGTTGTTTTCATGACATATTTACTACATAAATAAAAATGTAGTACTTGACCCAGAAATTAATAAAATGACTACTATAATGCTATTCTGAGGAAAAATATGATATGCCATGTTTGAAGTAGTATCAATGTTGGAAAACAAATAATAACATTGCCATTAGTAATGAAAATGATATTATGCAAGTTGCTGTTTATTATTCATTATTATGCATTTGCATAATAACATTGTCAGTAATAATGACAATGTTATTATGCAAGTGGGTACTAATATTTATTTTTTTGGATTTTTTTTATACGATTGTAATATTAATTGTACTAAAATGATAAATATATCAGATTACTACTATTTATTACATTTTCATTACTTAGAAAATTAATTAATTTATTTATAAGTGGTATAAAACAGAAGAATTGGCTGTTCCTCATTATTGTGTATTTGTAACTGGCTATTTTGTTATTATACAATTGTCTTTTCTTCATAAAAACTATTAAACTAATTGGTTTTATAATCAAATTAACTGTACTTACATGTTTTCCTATTTTACGTTGATGAGAAAAGGGTAATTGTAAGAGTATGACTTGGAGCACTTCTTTCTTAACACAATGTTTTTCACATTCTTCTCTTTGCTTATATGCACTCCAGTATTTGTTTCAAAGTCATAAAGAGAATGTATTTTCAAATAACAATACTTATTTACCTTTTAAGATTCTCACCTGATAGGAAGGGAGGCCAGATTAAGTTGCCAAGATAAGAATTTGCAAGCATCACTGAGATAGCATTTTTTACTGAGACATGTAAATGAACTTGTGTTAGTGACCCTATGTTAGTTTGAAGTATAGTAGATTCAGCCATAACTGCAACGAGACTTGTCAAAAGAAAGGAAGGAAAGTACACAATGAGAACAAACAAGAGAATACCAGTCAAAAAGAATAAAAACCTTTTAAAAAGTTACTCATTATTTAATATTTGTGTCAAACATGGAAATGAAATTAATAAGTTTCTCATTTGTGAAAACAGTGATGTAATTTGAGATCAATTTTTCTTAACTAATGTATTTTTCAACTAAATTTATGTACTGTGTAAATTGTAGAGAGAGTCTGATTCACAATGTTTTGTTGGTATTAGCTGTATAAATCTCTTAAATTTGTTTAAGTTTAACTAAAATTAGTTGGTAAGTTTCATTGTTATGAAGAAGTATATAACAGCAAAAGTGGTTCTTAATGTCCATTCAAGCAATTGTTTTTTAATCAGGGGAGAATGGTTCGCATGAGCAAGTAAAAAATGATTGGGGGGAAGGGGGTTTAAGAAAAGTTGAACATTCTCACAATTTGTTTCATATTTGGTACTACTTTTCAGTCTTACAGTGGGTTCAAAGAGAACCACAAATAAAGGTTAGCATTCTAATGCTCTCTAATTAAAGATTCTGAAAGTTATCACCTCTGTACATCATTCAGAAGTATACGCATTCAAAATGACTTAAAAATCAGCAAAACTTTTATAAATCATTGATTATAGTTTTTAGATACTTTCATAAAATAATTCGCCCAATTTCAGTTTAATACAATGCCATTATTGCATTAACCCTCTATCGCTATTGCTTTTCATTTGTGAATTACTTGTATGCAAGATTTTACCTGAAAACCATTATTTTGTAGTTGTGTACAATTAAGCAATTGGAAAGCAATAGAAAAGCAAAAGAAGTGGATCAACTTAGCATTACAAAATCCAAGAAATCCTTTACTTGTCAAAAATTTGAGAAGTGTTTTTATTTAATTTGCAAAAGCCCCTGTTATTTTGTTTAGTGTATGATCAGTTATGAGTAAATAAACAAAAGAATGAAAAAAGAACAAAATCATTAGAATACTCTATAAAAAGATATTAGGAAACAAAAATTTAAAGCGGAAAAGAAAAAATGTTTTGGACTAATTTTTCCAGCAATGATTCTCATTCATGTGTCTTCATTAATGTTAACCGTCTAGTATTTATTACAAAATTTTATTTTTATTTACAATATTGATTTGAAATTGTTTTACTGTAGTCTCGAATGGATTTGTTTGTCCATTAAAGTTCAGTTGATAAAAACAGGAGAAAATGAAAATGTTAATGCGGTATTTAAAAGCTAAACAAATATTTATTTACAATAATGATTACATTACATATCCATACAAAACACAAAGTAAATAAAATATTATTTTATTGATGTGTATGTTAATCATTCAGCTTGTTGAATTTTAATGGCACACCACCAATTGTTGTTATCACGACACCTCTTTTATTCAGTACAAGAGGAATAGGAGTTCTCTCACTTGGCTGCACTTCATATTTTGCCAACACATGAACAATTCCAGTCTTTGCAGACATCAAACCAAATCGCATTCCTGAAATAAATTAATTGTTGCTACGTAAATGATGTGCACCATAAACAATATATAAAACACAGTAATTACCCAAGGAAAAGAACATGTTTGATAATAATATATAAAATAATTATGTAATTTTCTAAAAAACATAAGTGAAATGTAATCACAATAATACATATACATATATTTGGTATGTTTTCTTATTTTCCTGCATTTGATGTTAGAATAAAATGATGTAGTTTTACAGCCAACCTCAGCAAGTCTGAAATGTTAAAAATATTGGAAAGTCAATGTTTCATCTACATGATTTTCAGACCTCTGCAGTGCTACAGAAAGTGAGATAATTAATATTGTAAATCATCAGGCAACAGCCAACTGCTACTACTATAATAGTTGGTTGTGGTTAGGTAGATGGAATATTTGTGAGTTTCCTGCATTTTTTGTTTCTGATTTGAAAATTTTTGCAATAAAAACATGAAATATACCTACATAAACAAGTGTCATGATTACTATTCATTATAAAATTATTTTTAATAAATACATAATACTGCTTACCTATGCAATTGTGAGGTCCCTCGCCAAAAGGAAGATAAGTAAATGGAACTTGTTTTCTTTTGCCCTCATCACTAAACCTTTCTGGATCAAAACGATCTGGATTGGGATGGTATTTGGGGTCAGTGTGCAGACCAAGGAGAGAAATGAAGATTGGAGTTCCTTTCTCTATAGAAATCCCAGTGTCATCATCATGATAATCTCTCAAAGCAACACGATCCAGGAATGGGAGAGTAGGATACTTTCTCAGTGTTTCTGCAACAAAAGTTATTGACAAATGAACAAAATTCTCACAGTGACAGGCAAATTACGTGTATCCCAATGTCACAAGATAGGGAAAAAATATACAAGAATAAAATACAATTTTTTAAAAGTTCATTTCATTGTGATATTGGGAAAACATCACTATGAATACAAATACCCTTCACAAGAGAAGAAAAGATTTTGTGATGAAAGTGGATGATATTAACACGTTCTCGTATTATTGGTAAATATATCATAAAATTAGGGTATTGCAACTTCTAACCCACTTACACTTTAGCCATCAAATGAACTTCTCAAACTATTTCCAGTTTAATTTTCAGATTGTCATTCAGTAAACTTATGGTGATAAGAGAATTATAGGGACATAGCAGCAGAGTGTCTCAAATTGTGTTTTCTTAAGCAGAATTCTATAAAATGAGACTGGAAAATGAGTGGATTCAATGTTAGGAGATAGTGTAGGGGCTCCCATGGCTGATGAAATGAGAAATTCTGAAGAACCAGAGTATTCTTCTTCTTCAATTCTATCAATCATTGTTTTAAAAGTGTATATAGCTTATTACTGAATCTTAATATTGAATAACCAGCCTTGGAACTGTATGTTACAGCATTATAGGCCCAGAACCGGTTGTGTTTGAGTGAATTTTTTCTAGTATTGACAAGCTGTGAAATTTTATTGCATAGAAAATCACATAATCACTCCAATTTTATCATTGATAACTAATTCTACCGCTATTCCTTCGATTTAATTTTATGTAGATTTTTAGTTTCTGCTATTTTATGGTCACACATTCTACAAAGAGCTAGATCTCAAGAAAAAAAATTAAAAAATGGTTCAAAAACTATTTCATTTCTTACAAAAGGTACTGCTTTAGAAACATAAATGAACCTTTCTCCCTCCCCCACACCCCTGCCGTATGTTCACTAAGTTTTACACCATTTATGTGGTTAATCATGTTCACAACGTTTATCTCGTTAATCTTGAAATAAAATTAGAAATTTATTTTGTTTGTTTTGCATTTTATAGTTTGTCTCCCCACCCACTGGTTAATAACGAAAACTATTGGAATAGCTTCAACAATACAATCTCGAATTTTCAGTCGTAAAATCCACCTTAATTCACGTCATTATTAAGGAACATTAGTGCTATTCCATAGATGGTTAAGATTGGTGTAGGTGGCGAGGATTACACAATTTTGTACTCAAAATCGGGATGGGCAGGGTGCGAATTGACGGACGGGGTGCCAGGGATCGTCCCCAGATAGTTGGATGTCCCTAGCTGGATAGGTATTAATTTCTCCTTGCAAGTGATACAAGGTCAAGTCCACACGGTAATAGGATTTTCCACTCAGGCAAGATAGCTCGAGTTTAGCCGCTGTCTGGAGGAGAATTCTAGCGGCCGGCTGCTCTGATCGGCAGTTTTCCGTGGTTTCTCCGGTCACCACCAGGGGGAAGGAGAAGAGGGGAGAAGGGGAGTCTTTAAGTCTTCCCTCAAATTACGCTAAGCACTCTGATAGAAATAAATAAAACTTACCGATGGCGATTGTTACGGCCCTTAGATTTTGGAGGCGCCCTCAAGGAACGACAAAGACCTCCCAATTGGGTTTTTGCCCCCCTTGAAGGCGTTTCCAAACATATTCCGCCAGATAGCTTTCGAAGTGGCCAGCTGCGCGGCGCCGAGGCAGACTACGTGTTATTGCGCTCCACGTTCCTTCTATATGATATGCCCGCGCGCCAGTTTCAGGGCCTCTTAAAACACTCAGAGTGGTTTACAGCAAAATGCTGAAAACCCTCGTCTTCTAAGCAGTTAACTTTCAACAGTCCGAGAACACTAAGGACCCCGGCTTGATGAAAGACTTAAAAACGCTCAGAAGCTCATCTCTGCTGTTTTAACGACCTTGAAAAAGGCGCGCTTCGTCTTTCGTTCGACTGCCCCAAACACCCATTTTCCAGTCACTCGCTTGCCACGATTGTACTTTCGGCGAGCAAACTTGCTCTCATCTATTTCCACTTCCACCCCAGCGCCTCCAATGGGTTCACTCTCTCTATCAGCCGCACCAACACACACCTCATGACTAAAACTCATCAGTCAGTCATGGTTCCATTGCTTACGTTCAATTCATTCATAATAACGGTACTTTCATGACCCAAAGATCGGTCATTACTAATACCTGAATCATACCCTACTTGCTTCCCGCGAACCATGACCCTTCCGCACTGAACACTTTCGCACATGAGGATTGGCCCCTTTCTTGCTACACGTCCACTCGAAAACATCACACAACTCCTTTCGCTTGGCCAACCTCACGGGACACTTACACACAGGACACCTTAAGCCTGTAGCAATCAAATCACCTTCTTGCGTCCCTTCAATAACAGCCAAACACCCCCTTCGGCGCAACGCGTAAAAAAAGCCATTTATTCTCACCATCGTAGCACAGACACTCAAAAACACAAATCACAAAGAATCTGAAGAACACAAGAAACGTAAGTGTACGACAGCAACGTAGCTAACCACTTCGACGGCTACCCCGACAAGAAAAAAAGCACTGTCTCCAACGCTAGGCACCACCATGTAATGAAGCTCTGACGAGATACTACGGTGAAATTGCCCTCCCCTCCTAACTTTAGACGTCACGTTCGTGACCAATTACGAACCATGAAAATGATTTCAGAAGTGTATGTTTCACAATTTATTTAATTCGCCGGCGAAACCGTTCACGCTTTACTTTTTATATGTATGTACTACGTTACGCATATTGCTTACCACCCCTCCCCAGCGAAAGATTCCCCTCATAATCCTCTTAACACCCCTCCTCCCCTCCACCGTGAATTTCCCCCTCGTCGGAGCGGCGCGAAGCGCTGGTTTAAACGAGTTTCTTAGGTTGTACCGTGTACTAGACTTCAACCTAAATTTTCTGTATTCTTGAACACAAAGAAGAATTTATTACCAAAAGATTTAAAAGTTTAAAAGCTGCAATAATGGAGCATATTTATATAATAAAAATAAATCTATTATCAGACACATAATACAAGAACAACTTCTATTTGAAATCAGTATATTTATAAAATGTTCAGTCAATTATGTATTATACATTTTATTTTAATTTTACTTTTGAAAGCAACGGCTCTGCAGAATTACTGAAGTCTGTTCTAAGCATTGAAAGCAGATTTTCAATATAACAAACATCTCAAAACATCTCTAATTTTTTTTGTTTTCCATTTTTGTGTGGAGGCGAATAAATTATTCATAGATTCCACCAAAAAAATACCATGAAATTTTTCATCTTCAGTCTTTGTTTAAATGTTGAATCATTGAAAATATGAGAACAGAGAGTCGTTATTTTATTTATTTAATTGTTCATGGATAACACTATTTACGTCTTTTAAAATAAAACAATGCATATCGTTAATTTTCTAAGAGGTATTGCACGTCTACACATTAAAAGTATTTTTTGGCAATTCCTACAACTACAATCATGGTTGCCAGATTTGGGGAACTTGCCCAAATGGGGATTTTTTCGGAGAGAATGGAGAACTAAATAGACGGAGATATATTTGGGGATTTTGGGAGAAATTATTTTCATCTTGAGTTGAGATAGCAATATTCTCTCAATTATTATGAATAAAAAAGGTACAATAGACGTTATTCTCCCTGTTTTATGTTTAAAAAAGAGTAAAATAAACGACAGTAATAGAGAAAGAAAAACATGAGAAAACGAACATATAATGCTTCGATCAGCTCAAAAAGACGACGATTGGTTGTTTTGAATTTAAAGAGACAGCTGATGGATTCGTAAGGGGCAGCTCATAACGTTGGTCCAGAACTTGGAGAATATTGTTTGTTTCATAGTTGGGGAATTTTGTTTCATTGCAGAGGTTATTTGGGAAAATTCCGTAGTAGTGGTGGGGAAAGAGCTCACAACACATCTGACATCGCAGACAACAATACTGAAAATAGCATTTTTTTTTATTCACATAAATTTTGATCTCCACAATTGGTATTTAATTGAAGTCATGTTCTTGTGTTGAAAATATTAGTAGTTTTCACGCAATTTCGTGTGAAATAAGGGCAATATTAAAAATTACTTTAATGTTATATATTAAAAACAAGATTTCTTCAAAAACCGCCACAATGTTTAAAATTTTTTTTCTAGGGACAGTTGTAAAAGTACTTAATAACATGACATATATGGTATTTTGAACACTTATTCCATTATTGGCAGAAATATTCGTATTGTAGGTTCCTAATGGCAAAAATGTGGATAATTCTTGTTCCTTTACATAATAAATTGCTTCATCTATCACGCCGTGTAGTCAGAATTCACGTTTTGAACCTTGATACCGAAAAATTGATTTTTGACAAATCGTGAGTATGATTTTCACCAAAATTGACATTTCCCGATGGATATGACTCACGTTGCAGACTTTTTGAAACGGATATTTTATTTGGGGGTGCTTTTCATGAAATCTCAAGGACATTTTCATTTTTTTCTCAAGGAAGGCTTCCAATTTTACGATTTTTATAAATAGGATGGAGCAAAATGCCTATATAAACGACGCAAGTCCTATTTTCGTTGAATTCTCTGAATTTTCAAAAATTATAAAAATTTAAGTGGAGAGGTCATTTCCTATCCAGTAGCAGCAAATCTAAGCTTCTACGTCGATGTTCACTTTTAAATGGTACCCATTGGTACACATGGTCTTCTTTAGGTTATCACGTATTATACATTATACACTGTAACCGAAAGCTCCGATTTCAACAAATACCCCAGATTGTGTTTCCATGGGAAATGGCAGATCCAGTTTTTCCGAAAAACATTGTCTTGTTAAAATTACCATGAATGTTAATAAATAAATCATGAATGTAATAATACAATTAAAAAAAATTTTTTGTAAGCTATATAATTCATTTTTACTTATTGTAAATGAGGGTTGTTGCAAGAGTTATATAATAATTTAAGGGGCTTCAAGCACGCATTATGAGTGCGTTACAGGGAGGAAAAGGGGTAAAGAAAATACTGCGTTATCCAAATTAGCGCTATGCTTGTGGCAGCTGGTTTGAATTCTGTTCCCGGAATAAACACTTAAACAAGATTTTCTAGAAGACAATTTTGTGGGTTTTTGGGGGGGGGGGGCTGGAGCTGCCATTATTTACGAAAATCAGCACAAAATCTGGAGTATTTAATTTGTAACAGGAGATTTCGGACATTCTGTGTACAAGTGTCTGGGGAGGAAACGTCGAAACTTCAAAAAGAAACTCATAAGACAATTTTAAGCATATTTTGTCTAATAAACTACTGGGATATTCCGTACAGTATAGTCGCAATAAGCACTCAAAAGTTGATTTGAAAAAAATGTTTTCTAGACAAAAAATTGCATTGTAAAAACATATAAACGCTCCAGAAACATGTAAAATGTTTATTATTTACAAAAGCAATAAATATATTTGTTCAGAACTAAAAATTAATCCAGAAACAAAAAGAGCAGTCGAATTATGTAAATTGGATGCTTTTTTATTTCTGTGTTATTTTTTTCTTTCTTAATAAACATATTAACTCGTTATTCGTTAGTTTGGAATGTTAGGAAAAGTTATATTTTTTTAATATATATCATTAGATTCTGCAGGGCTGAAGCCCCATAAGCTCTCCACTTATGTGATATATTGTATATAGGGAGGATATCTTACCTGAAACAACCATATCAAGATACTTCATACCAAACACCATTTCATAAGTTATTTTTCCGTCATTTTTCTTCATTTCATCACGTATTTCGTTTCTGAGCCTCGTTTGCAAGTCTGGCTGCAAAGCCAACTCATAAAGGGCAAAACTCATTGTGCTAGCGGAGGTCTCAAAGCCTGCCACAAAGAATATGGCCGCTTGGGAAACAAGGTCGTCGCCACTAAAATCTGGAAAAGGACGACAATGGTGAAAATTACATAAACTTTATAGAAAGAACACAGTACATCAAGGGTTCCCAGTCTTACATTACCAAATGCGTACCACATCAAATTTATAGGGATTTTTACTGAATTACCATTAACTTAAATATTTTGGTTTCAAATTGAAAATTCCAACGTGGACAATTCGAAAGCCGCACAAAAAGTTTTGTTAGTGGGGTCTGTTCTGTTGAATAAACAATGAAAAATTGATTTTTATTAACACGGCCGAGATCAGTAGAATTTCTGCTATAAATACATCAGTGCTAGTACACACCAGCTGAGTTAAATTCGTTCATTACTAGTTTTCAACATTCACCTGAACTAAATATTTTTAATATAAATTTTTCAGACATGCAATGAGGACGGGTAGTGAGGGCATGCGAAAGTGTCATTCCAAAGTACGAGTAACATTTTTTCATTGTGACGTCACAGGGATCATTTGCAAGGTACTTTTTCGCATGTCTTAATAAAAGATTATCTTCGCGCATACTTAGCAGTGAGCGGAATCGCTCATTTTTGTACAATTGTAGAAACAGTGTTTGTGTAGTTCGATATTAAACTAGTAACCCCAGCGTTCTGACCAAGGCCACCAAACGGACAGTTTCCTCCCTACCCTGCCGCAGGTGGCTTTTGTTTACCACTGCACTAGTCCAATAGAATCAAAGTGAAATTACGATCCAATTCATTTTAAATAATATTCCATGTAAAAATATTACTAATAACATAAATTAAAACTGACAAGCATAATATAATATTATAGGCGATTTTAACGTACGCAATCAAACGAAACATTTACTAGAAACATTCTCAATGATAAATGTAAGTTTCAAAACGTGGCTTGTAAACTTCTCTGTGATTGGTCAAGAACATGTATCACAATGAAATATGTATCGTAATGAGTATCATTACGCAACGAAGTGCAGCCATCAAATGACAGAATTATACAATGGGAGTAGAAAAAAGTTACTTCGTTATCATGTCATTAACAAAGGTATGCCGGCATGGCGCGCCACACGTCTGGCCCTGGCTCAGCGTAGTGCAAAGTTTACAAACGTTGTACTATTTTGTAGCGAGCATCAATCCTTTATTGTTCTGTGATATCAATGCTATGAAGCAATCGCCAACAATGAAAGTTGGCCCCTTTGTGTATGGTGCATACAACGCTACCTTTCGGTGTCGGGTAAAATGACACTCCCGGAATAGAATGGTACCACTGTAATATTCTATGACAATATCTGTATTGATATTTAATAATATTATTTTGCTATTGAGCTAGAATGTAAATAAATAAAGAAGATTAATCAAATTAAGTAAAATACAGGCTACGTTACTTTCGTGTCCTTACCGAATTGTTTTGAGAGCTTCTGATCAGCAGTTATCCCGTCTGTATCTTTATCATCGTCATTCACTTCATGGTCGATCTGGCCTTTATTCTTGAGTTCAATGAGCAGATCGATTAAGTCGTTCCTTTTCGTCTTCGATTCCTCGCGGGCCTTTATCGTGTCCCAGAAGACCTTCCGAAGGAACGTGGCTGCGTCCTTCTGAAAGAAGCTCAGCTTGAAGTACTTGACGAGAAAGGGCGCGAAAAAGAAGACAATCACTTCCAGGCCGCGTGAGAAAGTGTACTCGAAGGTCTTCTTTCCGAACTCTCTAAACTCGGCTTTGGGGTCTACGAGCGAATTGCTGTTGATTCCGAACACGCAGGACGAAATCACGTCCGTCGTACACTTCGCCGTCACTTCTTTCAGGTCGAGTGTCACGTTCTTTTCTTTCTCGTAAGCTTTGTTTATGTATTCCACCATCTGTTCGTCGCATTTCACTACCAGATGGAACATTTTCTTCATTTTACCGGAAGTGAAAATAGGGGACACGTTGATTCGAAGATACTTCCAAAGCTCTCCTTTGATGACGAACAGATTTCTTTGGCCAAGCGGATCAGCGTGGACATCGGAATCGGTGTAACGGTCGCCGAAATTGCCGAAATCTTTGACCAAAATTTTCTTTACCAGTTCTGGTTTCTTGATCAGCAACGCGGGCCTAAGAAAAAAATCCAAAATAACAAAGTGCATTATTTGCAACAAAAATAATAATTTATACACAGTCCTATAAAATTAAAAATAACTACACTCTTTGTGAATACAATTGACAATTGATTGTTTCTTTTTGTTGAAGTCATACATGGACAACTGTAAACGTTTGGGAAGGGAGGAGGTCTGAGTAATTAAATGTGTCAGAGTAATTACATGTGTTGTTGATCTATTGTTTGGTTTTCGAGGCATATCTTTGGATATGACATGTCTTTCTAATTGAATAAATGCCATTAAAAGCCATGACCTTCGTTTTTTGTTTTCATATTTTCATGTTGTAATTTTTACACGTTAGATTTAATTGACGGAGTGCCATTTGAAGATCATCTTCCTTTTCATACATAATAACTTGGTCATCAGCAAATAGCAGAGAATTGATGTAATTATTTCCGTTCAGTCTGATCCCTTTTTTTACATTTAATTTCCATTCTCTAAGAATTTCATCTATATAGATGTTAAATAATATCTATATAGAAAGATGCAACCTGTTTTAATCCTTGGTTAGTTATCAATAGTTGTGAATTTCTTTTTATTCAGATCTTTATATTTTTATGCAGACTTTTAGCGACGTTTATTAAATGTTTTGAAGGTCTTTTCTATCCACTATGGCCCACATTCTTCTCCTGTTAACTCGGTCGAAGGCTTTTTCAAAAACAATCAATACAATGCGCGTGTCTAAATTAAACTCTTTTCTTTTCTCCATTATTGGGTTCAATATAAAAACATTATCTGTGCTGGATCTTTACCTTTCTGAAATCACTTTGTTCTTCTAATAATATAACTTCAGCATCGCATTCATCCCCTTTTGGATCATTTTGCTGTATATTTTATTTGTTGTGTTTAAAAAGTTAATACCTCTATAGTTTTCACAGTTACTTCGATTCCCCTTTTTAAACACAGATAATATTAGGGCTATTTGACATTCTTCTGGTATTGTACTTATTAGCCAGCATTGATTGAATAGATGTAATAATCTTAAATGAAGAAAAGTGCTTCCCAATTTTAGTAATTCTACATTTATACTATCCACACCAGTAGTTTTTCTACATTTTATTTCTTTTAATACTTGTAAAATTCTTCTATTGTGGAACAATATTATCTTTCTTTTGTTCTTTTTGTTCATCCTTTTCTTCCAGATTCATAGATTATTATAGTGTTGTAGCCATTTCTCTTATATCTTTCAATTCAACGGTTTATTTTTTTGATTGAGTTGTCTCATTACTTTAGAGGCTAGTACTTGCTTCCCATCAATGTCATTTTCTATTTTATTTATGCAGTAATCCCACGCCTACTGATATGCTACACGAGATAGCCTTTTGGCTTCATTTCTACACCAGTTCTATTCTTTCTTCATTCCGTGTGTGAAGATATTTTAAGTATGTTTTCTTTTTCTCTGTAACTGCGTTTTTAAGTTGTTCATTCCATACTCAAGAGTCCTTTCTTTTTTCTGAACTACTATTTCTTTCCTATGCTTTCAAAAGTTGTTTTTCCTAAGCAGGTTTTAATATTTTCCCATTCTTTCTCTACTTTATCGCTTGTTGGTGTATTTATAAGTAAATTATCTAGTCTCTGTTGATATAGCCTTTTAATACTCTCTTCTTGAAGCAGATACACTTTAAAACCTTCTTTTACTATTTTTTTTTGGGGGGGGGAGGTTAGGTGTTTCCATCTACTTAGTAATTTAATAGTTGAGAAACCAAATAGTAATCTGAGTATATATCTTTACCACTATAAACTCTTGTGGCTTCAATAGGGTTGATAATTTCTCGTTAGCTATAATATAATTTATTAGTGATCTCCATCCTTCAACATTCCAAGTATATTTATACATATCTTTATGACTAAAGAATGAGTTAGTTATTTTTAATTTATTATAAGTGGCAAACTTACTTAATTCTATACCATTATTATTAATTGTCTGCTACCCGAAGTCCCCAACTATCTTAGGTATTGTTTTGTTTCCAACTCCCGCATTTAAATATCCACTAACTGGCAAATGATCTGTTATTAATTTGGGATTTTCCCTTTTAGATTCCCTCTCTCTATTTTTAATCTTACTGTAATTATTCTTTCATTTACATAGCAATAGCTTACTACTTTCAAGGTTCATTTCCTATCAACAAATATTGCAACTCCTCTATTTGCCCTTTTACATTGGTCTTCTCCAGAATAGATCATTGTGTAATCGTCAAGATCTTTAGTTCCTTTAAGCCTTTTCTTGTTAAAAGGGCTTTATTAATGCTATTTTCCTTTAATCCATCATTGAGTTCCTCTTTTTTGGGTACCTAAACCTCTTACATTCCATCTAGCAACTTTTAGTCTTTCCTTTATTCAGAATTGTTTGTCCTTTTCTCTCTTATATTGTCGTATTTGGGATATATCAGGCTTATCTGTGTGAAAAGTTACTACTAATTGAAATGTCCTCTGATTGCGTTACAGGTGCCGTGCACCCAGCGTAATATGATGTAATCCCAGTAGTGGGTCTGCCACTTTACTGCTTCTGAGCCAGCAGGATTTGATTTCAGGGGTTTCTTCCTTAGGGAAGTCGGTTTCTCCAGGAGAGTCTCCCCTACCCTTTGAGGAGCCTTCTTCCGTCCTCTGGAGTACGTCTTAGTCTGACCCCTCCCCTTTGACCTGTCCGGCAAGGGAGGCCCTACCGGTAGCTACGCTACCGTCGGCATAGCTCTCAGGATCACAGGGGTACTCAAGCTCCGCCACCTGCTAGTCATGTACTGCCAGTGTCCCCCCTCTCCTGCGAGCTCGTGACCTTGAAAGGAGACCCTGTTTTAATGGATGTATAGTATATTTGGATTTTATTTCTTGGCGCGGGGGGGAGGGGCTGCCTTCACGATGGAATATCTCACGGCATTTCGCGTCTTTTTCGGTTGTGCCGCTAGATGTAGCATGCTCGCAACCGTATTCAGCACTGCCATACGGCCTCAAGCGCCAAGAAATAAAAACCCAAGTATTTGGGTTTCTATTTCTTAGCGTGTGTGGGGGGGCGTGCCTTCACGATGGAATATCTCACGGCATTTCGCATCTTTTTCGGTTGTGCCGCTAGATGTCGCATGATCGCAACCGTATCGAGCACTATCTCACGCGCCAAGAAATAAAAACCCGTGTATTTGAGTTTTTATTTCTTGGCGCTTGGGGGAGGGGCTGTCTTCACGATGGAATATCTTACGGCATTTCGCGTCCTTTCTGCCGCTAGATGTCGCATGATCGCGACCTTTTAACAGTACCGGATCTACTAGAAGACAGGCACTCGCGCGCCAAGAAATCAAAACCCTAAGTACGGTACGCCGCGCGGGCGCCGTCGGGCAGTTGGTTCGCTCACTTGTCGAAGATCCAGAAGCCGACGGCCGGCGCTTCGGGCAGCGCCCGGTAGAGGTCGCGCGCGAAGCCGCCGATGGAGCGGCGCAGCAGGAAGAGCGGCGCCACGTTGCCGACGAAGGGCGCGGGCGGCACGAAGGGCACGCCGCGGCGCCGCCAGTAGGCGAAGTGGCGCGTGAAGTGCAGGTACAGCGCCAGGGACAGCGCCACGAGCAGCAGCGCCGCGCCCAGCGCCGGCCCGCCCGCCCGCTCCAGCGTCGCCGCCCACCACCCCATCGCCAGCTCTAAAGTAGGGGAGCGGATTTTTTGATGACCTGAAACAGCGCCAAAAAAATTATCAACAAAATGCTCTTGAAACGCTTTTAAAAATGCACTAAAACGTCGTGATTTTTATTTATTTATTTATTTATTTATTTATTTATTTATTTATTTATTTATTTATTTATTTATTTATTTATTTAATTTTTTTTAAACCAGTACGGATGAACAACTCAATCTGCTGGATACGTTACTAATGTAATGGAGGTTTCTTCCTTTCGTTTAAGTAAACTCAGGTTGCAAATATTGGTTTGGACTGTTCTTTACCAGAAAATCTCTGTCTTTAGTTATCTCGCAATCGGTTGAATCGCCAATGGCGCTGACTGGCGTCACAAGAACCACAGATTACATACTTACAATGGCTAACATTACAACTTCTGAGCGAAGAAATCAAATAGGGTACCAGATTACGGTACTCATGCATTTTGTGGAGAACATTTGAGGCATCTCGTTAATATTATTTGAATTTATCATTCAAATGATATTCAAATCGATGAAATTAGCAAAAATGCATTAAAAATGACAGGGAAATGTAAGAACAACGTGTTAGTCGAAACCGACAAAAAATGCAAAACAAATGACCTGGAACAAGTGGATTATTTTCTTTTCTCATAACATAAAAATAAACTTGTATACTAAACGCAATTTTTTCTAAAGTGAAAAGTAATTAAAATCCTCCCCTTACTCTTAACATACACGGAAACAAACATGTTTTAACCCTGCGAATATTTAGAATGAACCAAGGCGGTGGTTAAAGTTCTTCATAAAAATATATTCTGAATGAGAGAAGTTAATATAATAACAACACTACAAACATAATACATCAACAATTTTAGATAGATATTTATTCATGCAGATAGGTTTATACAACCCCGTAATAGAAACCTTCAATTTCCGAATTATAATTAGGAATATCAATACAATGTAATTTTAAATTAATTAAAAGACAATAATAACGTGATAACAATAAAGGTAATAATAACAATAATAATAATAGCATTAACTCTACATTTTACGACTGTCCTGCACGGAATTTTAACTAATAAATACACTTCACTTCACTTCACTACTCTTGCACCTCACTTCTCTCTCTACTTCTCTATTGCACCACACGTCACAACATGTCACCACACTCCAATGCAAAGGGTACTTTGAGTATAATTATATATAATAAAAAGGAATGTAATTAATAGTAATTATAACAATACCAACAATAACAATAATAATAACATTATAACTGTTTTAATAAGCTTAATTTACTAATTAATAAACTTTATAAGTATCGTATTTCAAATATTAATATCAAACTTGTGTGCACCACAATGTAATTTCAATACATTGATTTTCTTAAAATTAGTTTCAAAGTATTTATGTTTAATTTGTATGCTCTGATTGCAAGCTGTAACTATGTCTGAAAACTAACTTCTATAATATCCAACAACGAATTTTCTCATCAAAATTCCTTTTTTGTTATTTAAGGTCGCATCAACTTCTAGGTCATTAGCGACCACTATTGCTTGTAAAGGTAACTATGAGGATGACACGATATGATGACGATTGGGGGCAAAAGGGCGAACACGATACAACCATGCCCGAGGCGGGACTCGAACCCGCGATCCTTCGGTCCAAGATCGCTACGGCAATATTACCTTAGCGATCTCGGCCACCGGATTGGCAAAATTGCATTGTTTCGTATATTTTTTCATATTCTTTTTTTTCTCATTTCGAAAATAGCTAATTAATAAGTGTGAGTAGTGGACAGTTCATTCAAATTGCAAACAGCTAACAACGCTAATGAAATGAAACAACGAGCATCTCTGGCGGGGATACAGCGGGTATCGTCCGCGCACGTTTTCTTGAGCCCTCGCTTCGCTAGGAGTGAAGAGATTGGTTATTTTGACAAAATAAATTTTATATCAATGTATAGTTTGTTTTCCGATGAAAAATAATTTCTATTTCACTAGAGCAAACATTTCTGGTTATCAGATTTTGTCTACAATGCTCATAGCTATCATCGTCTCCGATATTATTTCAGTAGTATACATACATTTTGCGGCGCTCACACGCAACCGATCTTTATAAATGAGGTCTTTAAAAAAAGAGAATTTCTCAGAGACGTGACGAATTGCACGTTGACTTTAAAAACGCGAAAGATAAGTTTAAAAAAAGCATATAAATATTCATGTCAAATGCAACCCGCAGTACTCAGTCAGCTATATCGTTAAATAACTCCTAAACAAAGCGTTCTATGGCCTTAAAAAAGGCCCTAGAACTTCTTTGAGGCAAACGGTCTCAAAGAAACGTTATTCATACTATAATCTACAGGATGAAATATTCGACATGCTATTGATTTTTTTTCTGGTTCGGTACTTATCAATACTACCAATGCCACCCTTATTAAATATAAGTAATTGGAAATGTTCACCCCTTTTTGACGTCAGAAGAAGGCGTTTAGAAGGCTTAGATTCCTCTATCTTATACTATTTACCCTTTGTGTGTACATCGTGGTTAGCGCAGACTGACGAGGTTTATTTGCATAATTATTAATTCAAGATTCGCTTTCGCAGCAACAACTAGCAGTACTATTAATAGTTGCTTAACTGTTTACCTAATGGTGGAGGGATGTGGGTGCACAGTGAAGAGTGCAGACGTGTCTTGTTATGTTTATTTTTTGTTCTACATGTACCAGTATTTTCGTTATCAGCAGTGATTCGGTGAAACTTTCAAGTCAGCGTGTTCACTCGCGTAGCTTTCTCAAGAGCAAATCGCTTTTCTTAATACTTTTGTGACTATCACGAAAAGCAAAACGCTAACTGCCAAAGAATATTGAATAATTACTTCGTATATTTTTAAAGAAGTGTTGTGAATTGTTCCAAGTAATCTCTCGATAATACTGAATATATCCTTATTGAAAATTTCTTTTGAACATCAATTGCATTATTTTTTTGCGTTACTACATTGGAAGTTATCTTCATACCTTTATAAACAAATAAAACCTGTCGTTAACAAATTTCCCTCTTAGAAAGAAAATATAAGTATAAGGAAGAGTGTGGGGTTTACCATGCGAGAGCTCTCTCACAAATATACGGAGGTAGTAGGGGAAAACTTGTGTAATGGTGTAAGAACAAACTTTTCAAATTAATGTGAAATAGCTTGAAATAAATGAACAAAAAATCATCGCACTATTCTACAATACTACGTGAATTAATTTTAAAAAGCAACCAAATTTAAAAGTAGAGAAAGAATAGCGCAAGTCACTCATCAACTGCCAACAATCCAGACGCACGATTTCAATGTTGACGGTATCTGGAAGTCTGTAAACTCATATTTTGAATAATACACCGTTTGATATTAAAGTTAACGTGTCGGTTCACTAAGATATTCAATACGAAAACATCGTTTGAGCAACATTCACATGAAATGAAACCTAAACCTACTGAATTGTTTCTAATGGTCACAAATGGTATGTACTCCTATTACTCAAAGGTGAAAATATTAGATTTTTTTTTTTTGGCTCGGAATTGCTTTCCTTGAGATACGTAAGAACGCAGAACATAATCCAATACTTTTTAGTATACAAATACGGTAATTTTTCAATCTTCGCACAACAGCAAGCTGTCCCTCTAAAACCGGCTCTGTTCCTTCTAACAAATCCAGGAAAGTTAAATAATATTGCAAAAAAGTAGAGCTGTACTTGCCTGATCCTGCATTTTCGCATGGAAAACTTCATTTGGCTTTCTCGAGAGTAAAAAAAACCTTTTCTAATATTTTTGTGACTATCAAGGAAAGCAAAAGCTAACTATCAGGGAAGATTGAATAATTACTTCAAATTTGGTTTTCAAGGAAGTGTAAATTGTTCGAAGAACGTATCTCTATAATACTGAATTAACCATTATTGAAAATTTGTTTCCACTATCAATTGCATTATCTTTATTTTTGTTTGATATTCTTGAAGTACGAAGTTACACTTATGAATTTTTTTAACAAATAAACATGTTTCATTAACAATTTTTCTTCATAATGCAAAGGACAGGCAAATGGATAGGGAAAGCGTGGGCACTAATATACAAGAGTTCTCACACGGGTTCGCTAGTGTATTCTTAAATCAATTAATGTTGGCAAAGGAGTGGGCGGTTAATATTCCGGGGCTGAAGAAAACGTACACTTATAATACATGTCCTCTCAATATTTTCATTTATTATTCTCTAATGTTATATTTTAAAAACTAAGGATACTTTAAGAATAACATTATTATTACGATGCCAGTATCAGTAAGATTATTTATGACAACGTTGACTCGGAACATTTTTGAATTAAAACTAATTTATTTATCCCCTTTTCCGCTCCTTGTCCACTGCAAGTGTATTCGAGAATCGGATGTGTGATCTTCCAAACACCAATTTTTGAGAAAATTTAGAAAGATATTGATGAAGCTTTATGTAAAATACCCCCAAAATCAAAATGTACGTTTCAAACTTGCAGAACCTGGAGTTCGTCCAGTTTGATGGGGGAATTTACGTTTTGGAGAAAATCGGATGAACGATTTAGGCGCTGGCGTTCACCAAAGATGGCGGGACAGACGGACAAAGTGACGGGGAGATAAAAGAGCAAACAGAGGGGCAAATAAACGCAACGACAGACTGTCAAAAAGTTTAATCTGACTACACCGTTTGGAAGTAATTTACTACATAAATGAATAAGATTTATCCACTTTTTCCTTACCAGGGCCTGAGAAAACGAGGTTCTCTGCCGGAAAATCGCCGATATCCCCCGCTGCATTACAATGTTTTCTCTTTACTACGTAAGTGCGCAGTAAGGAGAGAAGGAAAACAAATTTAATAAAATCTGTGGTAACCACAAACATCTTG